TACTGTTTTTTTTTGTTGGTATATGTGTTCTGTGAAGAGAAAATTTTGTGCCCACTTGAGTTTGTTTGGATCTAACACACACTCAATATGAATGTGTATGAGTGTTCGATGGTAAAAGCTCGATGAGAACATTGGTCGAACACTAGTTTTTTCGCTGTTAAATCAACACACTCATATACCTCATGGTTGAACGGTAAAAATCTCAATTACACATGTGTTAACTATACGGTGAAAAATTTGTGTAGATGGTGAAAAATCTAATTACATGTATGTGATGATCACACAGTAAAAATTCGTGACTGCAGCACGAAATATACTCGGGGTGGGACAATAGTTTATCGTAGAAATTAACTTGCTCGATTTTCTCTTCACCAAGTTCTCTTTTTTTCTGGTAGATACAAAGATTATGGTAATTTCAAAGATCAATTCTCACGTATGATCTAATTGTTTCGTGTGGTTTAAGCATAATATCAGGAATGAATTGGTTTTTTAAACAAAAGTTGGAAAAGTAAATGGACAGTATGTGGTTATATGCGCAAACTATATATCAAGTCAAATAATGATTGAGGAGCATGCAAAGGGAAAGGAAGGACGAATGTGTGATATGCTTAATTATGATGAAATTTGACAACCCCATTCTAATTATCATTTCTTGATTTAGGCTATGTTTGGTAAAACTAGCTGATAAGCTAGTTGATAGCTAATAAGCTAGCATATAGCTATATGTAATTTTTGAGCTTATAGCTTATAAACTAGCTTATATGATAAAAGATGTTTGGTAAATTAGCTGAAATAAAAAAATTCAACTCACTTATTTGAAAAGATACCTAAAATAGCTTATGAAATAAGCTCGAGCTTTTTAAAAAAGCTCGTTCTACCAAACGAGACTTATTTTAATACAGAATGCTTATAAACTAACCAAATAAATTATAAGCTAGCTTATTTAACTTACCAAACATACCCTTAAGAATCCCAATAAACTTAACTCCAACTTATTTTAAAAGTCTTGAAATACTTGCTTAAGATTTAAAAAAAATCATAAAAAAATGAGATATTCAATTTATTTATTACCTTTTTTCAAAAACAAAATACATAACCGAAAACTCACATGAAATCTAAAATTTTTCTAAAGAATTCCAATTAATTAAAGTCTAAAAAAAAATTGAATTAAAAAAATAAAATAAAATAAAATATCACTTAAAGTCCAAATGAATACACCTTTTTTTATACATTTTCCCTTAATAATTTATCAAATTCTTAATTTTGAGTATTTCATTCCCGTAAAAAAGGATCAAAGGACTACCAACTAACTACACATTTAAGACCCTCCACATGAGTGCAAACAAAATTTTTCGTCTGCCTTTCATGGGGAGAAAAAATATCTATTATCAATTCACAATATCAGTGAGTTTCAACTTCACCTTCAAGTTACCAGCCTGAACTACTATTTCTCCTTTTGACTGATCCAATTTCAATACCGTTGCTTTCTTGTTCAGAGAAGGCACGTTCACCGTGTCACCAACCTTTGGAAGCTCACGCTTCTTCTCTGCTACGCGCCAAAAAACGACAACAAAGAAACATACAAAATTTAAGAAATATGTTTATGTGAACATCTCTATATAAAATGTTCCCATAAGTAAATTAATAGGGATGCTTGGATATGAAATGTTTTTTATTTTGTTTGGATTTTTTGGTTTGATATAGTTAATTTTGAAAAAAGTGGTATTTATATCTATATAATTACTGGCAGAGCAATAAATAAAAATGTTTTTTGTTTCCCGCCAAAAGACGTTACAAAATTTTCATCATTGATTCGATTTTTGTTCCTTTTATTTTGTTTAACATCATTTAGTAATGTTTCCCCCCCATTTTTTAGCTAATTAGGGTGGAAAACTGTTACAATCATTTTGTATAATAGTGAATATTAATACCAATTAATAATAATTTACACTAAATGTTATATAAAATTTACATAAGTATAAAAAAGTTAAATTGCAAATGTTTTTGTTCGAGCTCTTTATTCTTAAATCAAAATATTATCTCTTATTATTTTGTATCTCAAAAGACGATTTTCTTTGAAAAAACCAGCTAATAGTTAAAACATAATCAAACAACCTTAAGATATTATAAATAATAATAATAAATTTTCAACTAAATAAATTAAATATAATCCTTCAAAATTAATAATTACATTATACTTAAACTTTTTTCAATTAATATAGTGATTCATATATACTTAAATTATTAATTTTATTGCTTTGTTTTTAGTAATTATTAAATTTCGAAATTGTGATGTCCGGTCTCAAATTTTTAATTTAATATTATATTACAAATATAACTTACCATATTTATTTACATTCGTGCATACGCACAGGATGTTTACTAGTGGTTAGTTATTAGTGGGATTTTGAGTTTAAATTAAAATAGTATTAAAAATAAAATAATTAAAATTGATTTGATGTAAAAGTATGACATAGATGACGTGAATTGATAATTAGTTAAAATTATGTGAGTGAGTGAATAGTGAATTAAATTTGATGTAATGTGTAAGAATAATTAAGTGATATTATTTATTTATATTGATAATATTGAAGATAGTGGGGTTAAGTTAAAGTTGAGTTAAAAAAAGTGATTATTTAAAAATGATTGGATTTTTTTGGAAAATTTTGTATTCAAGCACGCACATAGGTAAACTAAGTTAAATCTCAGTAGTTATTTTCGTATTTATATCAAATATACTGTTGGGCTTCTTTTCAGAGTTCAACAATTACCTGTAACCGGTTGCTCCCGGTTAACCATGGTATTGGGAGTTTGAACTGCTGCAGAAGTTTTAGTTTCTTGTGATGTTGAAATATGATTACTTGTATCTGCTTTTATTTGCTTGGAAGGTTCGGTTGGACGTGATCGATACTCGCGAACTTTCTTGTGAATGATGGAACGTGCAGAAGCTGCTATCTCGGATAATTCTTGCATCATCCTGTATCTTTCATCCATGCCATGTTCCATCACTCTCTTTTTCGTTTCGAGTAGGTCCTGATGGAGTTTCTTTGAGAGCCTAAAAAAAAGGGGGAAAAAAGAATGGGTTTGGCGGAACTTGCATAAACTTGGGGATCAGTAAAAATATGGCGAATCGTCACCTCAGGTAATGCTGTGCGTCGTGAACTTTTTCAAGATAGTCGTGCTTGAATCTCTCCATATCAACTATGACCTGCACTAGATTCGATGGGAGATTGTTAGACGAGAGTATACACAGCCAACTAAAAGAAGTGTCTAAATCTTTAGGGGTGATTGGTAAGCAGTCATAACCAGTTAAAAACGATCAAGATTGGATCCTTAGTTAAAGTGAGTTATTTTGAATCAAGTTTATTGAGTGAGATGAGAGGGAGATTATATTTAAATAATATTTAAAATGTAATGGTTAAAGTTGATGGGATGTAAAAGTATGAGAGGTGATGGAAGTGATATGTAGTTAAAAATATGTGAATAGATGAATAGTGAATTAAAGTTGATGTGATATATTATTTAATTATATTGATGATATTGAGAAATAGTGAAATTGAGTTAGATTTTGAGTTAAAAGTGAGTAAAAAAAACTGATACAATCAAAATTGATTTTGATCAGCAACTCTTTACCAATCACCCCCTTAGTGTCTAGCTTGGTGAAAGGAGATATAGAAAACTTTTTCAGGGAAACAAAATTAAGAGTGGCTCAAGCGAAATAGGGTAGCAGTAAGTGGAAAATGAGAACTTACTCTTTTATTTCTGAAAATAAAGTAAGAATTACTATCCTCTGAAGAACACAGACCTCGAATACTTACAAATTAAGTGCCATATATTTATGGGTAATCAAATTTCACAATGCGCCCATCGTCTCTAATCTAATTAGCAATTACCTCATTGATTTCTGCACTAGCTGCTCCATATAGTTCACGTGCATCATCTAATATTTCACCTGGCAGTCCGAGCCTATCAGCAATATTGATTGCATTTGAACGCCCTAAAATTAGAGAAATAACCATTACCAAAAAAATCTTTTAGAGCGAAAGTCAGTAAATCAAAATGTGGCAAGACACCTAATCTACCCAACAGTCAAGTAGTTAGCAAAGTACCTGGTATTCCCCAAAGGATTCTATAAGTGGGCTTCAACTTCTCTTCATCAAACTCCATGCAAGCATTCTCAAAGACATTGTTGCTGTCATCGTTGTAATAAAGACATCATGTTTAAACTCATGTCTAATATGTACATTTTCATTTGCATAAGGTACCTGTATTTAAGAGTTTTGAGTTCTCCATGATGTGTGGTGGCTATCGTCAACAAAGTACCAGCATCGGCAAAAGATTCTAGCAATGACATCCCCAGGGCAGCTCCTTCTAGAGGATTTGTTCCCGCACCTACCTAAAAATGATGAAGGAATTACTAATCACTAATTAATGGTATGATATAACCTGATTTCATTACAAAATATTATATTTATCTATCTATATATTAGCACATATTTATTCTGTTGATTGCAAAAATCAGTGTTTGTGATACATTAAACTGCAGAGAATAGAAGTAAATTCCCTACTTCATCCAAGAGCACCAATGACAGACTTGTTGAAAGGGACTTGATTTCCTGCAAAAGAATCAGCAATAAAACAGCTAGAAGTAAGATCATGGACATAATATGAGTAAATTTGGTTTACACACACTACTAAAAGGGCATTTCATACATTTGCATTCATTGAACTTTTTTCATAGAAAAAAATATCACTGATTTCAAGAGATATAGCTTAGTTGGCTAAGTGGCTTGCCAGGAATAGGTTAAAGACCTTAAGGGTCCAGTTATGTCACACAAGTAAATCCTATCTGCTTACGCTAATTTGCTTCAGATGGCCGGAAAAAGTAGATAGAGACTGAGATAGAGATTGCTCATCGCCAATATCAGCAAGTACAAAATCAAACCAGGGAATCCTTGCTGGTTCTGATGCCAAGACATAGAGACCTGCAATATTTTCCCTTCCATTATTGGAAAAATAAGATTTCACGGCCCCGTGCAATGGGGCCTTCCGGGACTAGGGAATCACATGTTTTTTTGTGATAACTGGGAACTGTGGGCAATCAAATTTAGTGTTCCTTGAATTCAAAATAAGCAAACATCAACAGAAGTTTCCGGATATAATGTTGGTTAAGACCGAAACAAAGAAAATGCAAAGACAAATCCAAGTTAATAAGTCCATGGGAGTAGAAAAAATATCACGAAGATAACCTGATTTTGCCATCATTGCAGCCAATCCAACTGTCTTCAGACAAATTGTCTTGCCTCCAGTATTGGGGCCAGTTATAACGAGAACTCTAGTACTCTGTGTTATAAATATGTCAAAGGGGACTGGAAGAGCTTGTTTCAACCTGGCAACCTGAAAACAATGTCATAGAGACAATGAACCAAAAATATCATATGCAAGAAGCTGGCATAGTCAGATAGTCTCTAAGCTGGTACAAGATACCCGTTCTAATGACAGCTTTTACCTGCAACTCCAAAGACGATACATATGAATCTTGATCTTCTTTCCATCTTGAAGATCCTCCCATCTGTTTCCTCCTTCTGATTTCCTGTAATAATGCACAATCGTCAGGAAACTATACAAATTTCAGAAGATGCAGAATATGAGAATTTGTGAGACACATAAGCCCCTCAATTTCAACCATTTCTCTAACCCCCATACTAAATGGGCTTTTGAGAAACCAACCACACAATTCACGTAGTATGCAAACTAATCATCCTAATATTTTGTTGAGGTTCACTTTCTAAAAGTAGTATATAGTATATACTGGAATTTCAATTAAGTGTGGGTGGAAGCACAGCTTACAGCTTTTGCATTACTCAGATCCTTCATGGCCATTTGCAAATTTTGACGATGCTGTCGTAGCAATAATGGATGATGCATTCTAGGCAAATATAGTGACCACTTCTTCTGATTGGGTTGTGATAGTAATGAGATGTCATCCTCTGACAATGTGTCAGAGTTCACGGTGCTCCTTTTATCTTGCGGAAAATATAGTTCAGGGAAAGCACCTTCAAATGAGAGACTATATCTTGCTCTAGCATTGATCTGTGTCACATTGTGGGAAATGTGAGTCTCAAGCTTTTGTATAAGTATGACATTAATGTGCACATAAGAACTTACACGATCAGCTCGGTTGACAATCAATCTATTCGATGAGACATTGGTGTAAATGTTCATAAACCGTAAGCAGATTAGAGCACATAAAGTTGTGTTAAGGTACACGTATTACAAAAAGATGCCGCTCCAGACATCAACCATGAACTGGTAACATTCACTTGCAAGTTGCAAATGAAGCAAAAATGAGCTTGACAGCCCATCAACCTACAGAACAACTATCTGGCTAACATGATATCAAAATTATTGTTCACTGAGGGAGAGTCAAACATTGTCCCGTGTCACTAGATTCATGCTAAAAGAAGTTTTTATGCATAAAATTATTACCACAAAAGCAGCATTGCACCAGAGCAATCGATATGAAAAAATAATCATAATTTACTCATTGTGAAGACAATATTCAGTGGTTAACACCCAAAACACTGCATATCAAAAAACTCAAGTGATGTTCTTCATGCTTACCGTGTCTATCTGAATCATGCTTTTGAATACTTGTTCAATGTCATCAAAATCGAATTTTATCTGTACAATAAATAGGAAATAAAAGTGAGTGCTTGATGTAGTAAAAATAGAAAAAAAATGCGAAGTTGAAAATATTTTTCAAACCTTCTGGGATATCTTCAAGAGCACCTCTGCCTCAGCCCTTGCTACTGACTCCCTTGCTCGTTGGAGCTCATCATTTAAAGGAACAGCTGATAGTGGTTCTACGAGACTTCCAGCACCTGAACCACTATACTCGAGCATTATTTCCAAAGACTAACAAGAGAAACATGGCAGGTTGCTCAATTTCAAATATCTTTAGTCGAGATGAAAATTCAGGTTCACAGTGTAATAGAGAAAATGTCTTGACAGTTTTTGGATGGTTAAAAGGGAAATGTCTCTTCAGGTAATAATGAAACTGGATATCAGCTCATGCATTACGATGCAACATACAAAATAGATACCTAAGTCGTTTCATGTGAACGAGGCAATGACATTTCAAATAAATGTGCAATGATTTCTTATAATATTTCTTATTAAGCATCACATAGAGTTTGAATAAGATGTATCAGTGCCTCACTCCAATTCACAAAGTAAAATAAAGTGTTATCTGCAATAGCCGTAATGAGCATCTGCGCGGACAAATAAAGCATCATCAATCGTAACACCAGTATCGGAAACACGTTAGATACTGTCTCCATTTGATCATCACATTGGGATGTCACCTCCATCGAAGAAATGAATTAGCAAGGACAGTTTACAGACTACTTTGATGCCTATTCCTTAACTACGAAAGTGTGAAAAAAAAAAAAAAAAAAAAAAAAAACAACAACAACAACAAGGAAGTGTCTGATGCACCTTGCCAACAATAGTCCCTCAAAAGTTTCGCGCGCATCAGCACTTGACTGTATGCACCATCGGCCATCAATATTGCATATTTCCTGTACAATGAAAATGAAAGAACCTCAAATTACTAATAAGAAAACCGCATAGAAGTGTTCTTTAGATATTACTATCATAATTTTAAATGTATAAGATAATTAACACCAATGATATACAACAATATATATATTATTGAAACAAACTAACTTACAGGAATCGAAGTTTCTTTAAATTCATTTCTTATAATGCCTTCCATCAACTGGCGCAACTAAAGAATGAAAAGTAAATTAGGTCGAAATCAGGCCCTTCAAACAGAACACAGTGAACTTGAAATAACAGTCAACTTCATACAGAAAGCTATGTGATAAAAGAAACCCACCAAACTTATGTATCCAGAGCCCGATAACCTTAATTTTTTCCATCATATTTACATGATAGACAGTTTACAATGTAAAGGTTACCTTCCTCTCAATTGAGCGCACTTGATCACGTGCTTGTCTCAAGTCCGAACTCTGAACAGCAAGCATATCTAAGAATCAAAATGAGGCTATACTAGAAAATAATATATACAAACCCATATATAGAAGATGGACTCAACAACCGACCGCAGAATCTTTTACGGAGCCATCTTCATCCACAATTTGCTGTATAAACTTGATCAAAGACCGACTTATGACTAATTCCATTATCTGCAGTTAATAAAATACTGGATATCATTGAACAAGCAACATGAAGCAATTATACAAGCCATCCAAATAAAACTACAATACCTGTTCTGATAGAGGCATAAACCTCTTAAACCAATATGAATCTTCCCTTACTGCAGCTTTCACATTTAACTGGAGCGAATCTGCAAATTGTAAAAGGGCTGCAACTGCCACTGCTTCACTCCCAGTCAAAGAAGAACCCCTACGAGCACATTTTAGTCCAGTCTCCACCTTCCAATAAAACACAGGATCAGCTTAACACTTCCAACTGAGAAAATAAGAGAATCTAGTTTAAACGTCTGCTTTGTTCCAGAATTACAACAAGCGACAGATACAAGTCCAAATAAAGAAACTGAATAATATCTACAAGATCGAAATCTAGCATATAAAATACGCAAAAGTCTGTTTGAACAGCAGCCTCAATATCAAAAGCAATGATAAAACTTCATGCACAAGATCGAAATCTAGCATATAACATAAGCAAAAATCTGTTTGAACGGCAGACTCAGTATCATAAACAAAGATAAAATTTCATCATACCAATGCAACATTGATGCCGGTAAAATCCATCATGGCCCCATATTTGAGCATTTCCACCGCAGCTTCAGTCTCCTTCAGTAGTCTTACACTATCATCGTATGATTTATCCAAATCCCACAGTTTCTCCTGAACACACAAAACGTTAGATAACAGTAACATTCACACACACACAGACACACACACGCACACACAAACAGTTAACACATATACATACAAAAAATTATGCAATTAGCAGAGACCTTGGTGAATTGTCTGCCAAGTGAAGTGCCGGCGAAGGAGGCAACGCAATCGCAGAGCTCGTCCCATTGCAAAACTCTGAGGCTGTCGAGAACTACAGACGGAGGATCGCTATTAGAGATATCTCTTCCCTGAACTGCTACTTCTACTGCTATCAAACGTCTACCGAGCAAATTCCGGCGAGTGTTCAGCTGAAACTGAATAAACCGAGCGGCGGAGGGGACGGAGACGGCGTTCGAAGAGGCTCCGAGAGTCGTGACGGGGAACGGTGATGCGGTGAAGTTCTGAAGAAGTGTGAATGAAGGCATCAGCGCGTGTGGAGATGGCGAAATTGAAGATGGATTTTTGGATAGGAGGGAGAAAAGAGGTTGCCATGGACCAGGAAGGAGGCAAACGACGGGCTCAATTATTATTATTATTTTTTTTTTTTGGGTTTTCGGTCCTTGAGTTTGTTGATATTCTCTATAAATCCGTGTATTTATAAAAAATTCTACTTACCTCCCCTGCACTTTTTCACTTTGCGCCAGTTCCACTCAACCATGCTTCAGTTGCCATGACGAACTGTTGATATGGCTCATATATTGACAAAGGAAGGAGGCAGGCTGATGCCTGCGAGCGTAACGGAGCGAACGTAGCGAGGGAAGCGGAGCGAACACGAACGATTTTGAAGAGTCGGTTTAAGGTCCCCATTTCGTAACGGATTGGACATATCAACTAATATTCGTTTCATTCAAGTCATTTCGATTATGGTTCTTCTCACTTATTCTTGTGTTCTTCTTATAAGAAAATCAATAGTTGTTATCATTTATTCTTGTGCGTAGGCTTGTAAACGATTCGGGCCTCGAGTTCAAACTTAAACGAATCGTACTATTGAAATTTACATAAAATATTGAGAGATTATCTTGTGATATTCTTACATGAAAGCTCTATCAGCTCGATCTCACTAATGTCTTTCTACATGGCGACTTACATGGGGAAGTTTACATGAAAATTCCTCTGGGTTTTGCCAAACAGGGAGAGACGCGAGTTTGCCGACTTCAGAAATTCCTCTATGGCCTTCGTCAAGCATCGCGAAATTGGTACCATAAGCTTGCTCAAGCTTTTACTACTAGTGGTTTTCATGAGTCTTTATGCGCTTGATATTCTCCAAGAATGCGGTCTTCTTGGTTGTCATCCGATCTCGACCCCCATGGAGCAGCATCATCATCTCTCTGTCGACTCTGGAGAGTTATTTGATGATCCTAGATATTATCGACGCATCGGTGGTCGTCTTCTCTATCTCACTATCACACGTCCCGATATCAGCTATGCAATCCACATTCTTTCCCAATTTATGCATCAGCTACGTTTTCTTCACTATGAGGCTGCTCTTCGTGTTTTGCGCTACTTGAAGAATGCTCTTGGTCAGGGTCTCTTCTTCCTTTATTCTAGTTCTCTTCAGTTGTGTGCCTCTTGTGAAGCTGATTGGGCAGGATGTCCGGTCACTCTGCATTCCACTACTGGCTTTATTGTTTCTTGGGTGATTCTCCGATCTCTTGGCGCTCCACGAAGCAATCTATTGATATCGTTCTTCTGTTGAAGCTGAGTATAGGGCTATGGCATCTAAAGTCAGTGAATTGGTTTGGCTTGTCCGCACTCTCGATGAGTTGCATGTTTCTCAATCAGTTCCAGTCCCTCTTTTCTGTGACAATCGTGCTACCATCCACATTGCTTTGAATCTTATTTTTCATGAGCGCCTAAAACACATTGAGATTGATTGTCATTTTATTCGCCACCACATTCTTTCCAAGCTTTTGGTTCCACGTCTTGTTTCTTCCAACCGTCAGTTAGCGGATTGTTTCACTAGGGCTTTGGGTCGTGACTCCTTATCTGGCATTCTCGGAAAGTTGAGCATTTGTGATATTCGTGCTCCAACTTGAGAGGGAGTATTGAGAGATTATCTTGTGATATTCTTATACGATAAATATGACAATAGTATCTTGTTGATGTGATATAAATTAGATTGTATCAATTAGGTGATATGGTAAATCTCTTCTGGTTTGTATATATATACCTTGTAATCCTTATTGAGTTATACAACAATTCAAGCTTAACAGCATTCTCTCCACTTTTACATAAAAGTTTTCTTTTCGAGTGTTAGCGATCACTATCGAGTCGAGTCGAACTCGTCTAGTTAACTAAACGAGCTTTAAATAAGCTCGAACTCGTCTTGTTAAAGGCTCGGACTTGAGTTGAAATCTAGCCTTAACGAGTCGAGCTCGAGCCAAGTCGAGTCAGACTCGTTTAGTTTACCAACACTAATTGTTGATTCGAACTCAAAATTTGTTGGTCCAAAGTAAAAAGTGTTAAAAACTAAGCTATCCCTTCTCGTCGTCATTTCGATTATAGTTTTTAATCATATATTTAGTGATAATCTAATTCGAGTGATAAATCGTCAATTATAAAAAATAAATGAATCAAAATCAATTGAGCAATTTTTAGGCCCGAAATTGTGGTCAATTTGAACAATTGATTTGAGGGATTCAGTTCTCTTAAATTGGAACTCATTCATCCGTGTGATATAAGGTATTCAAAATTAACTATCCTTTCAGAGTTGATTTAAGGGATTTGGTTCTCTTGAATCGGAACTTGTATGTCTAATAGAAGGTTTCTCATAATGATTTTTTTTTTTTTTTTCGATCATGGTTCCAAACAATTGTTTTGCTAAAAAAGTGTTTTGCTAGTGGATGAATTGGTAAAAAGTTGGTAAATATAAAATCTAATATTGAAATTTTGTATGAAGGAGCCTTTTATTATAGATTAAATGGTTGAACAATTCTAAATGATCGTAAGACGTAATAAACATACCACATTGCGAGCTTAAAGGTAAAGTCAAATATGTGGCTAATTTATATGAAACGAAATCATTAAATAAAATGAGTACTATTTAGTACATAAAAAAAGAATGCCATAAGTTCCATCCAAATAGTTATTAATCACAACAATTAAAAAAATCAAATATTTTCTAAATAAAATTCACATTTGCAAACCACACGATTTTTATTTTTTTTTAAAGAAAAAAAAACATATATAAAAAAGTCAATCATCCGACCAAATTGACCACCCAAACAGCGCCTGAAAACAACGAAGCATGAGAGCCCATCAGCCCAACCTACGCCTTGAAGCATAGGAACTGGTGGTGGTGGCCGCCGCCGCCGTGGTGGTGGTGGTGCGACGTCGTCGTTTCCCTGCGGATCAACCCCTTGACGTGGCAGAACTCCTCCACGTGGCACGGGATGTTGATCGGCCCCTCCTGCTCGAACCCGTACTCCTCCTCCGCCTCCCCTAGCAGCCGCGCGAACAACGGGTGGTTCACGTACGCCACCGGAATCACGAACCGCCGCCGCTCCTCCTCCTCCCGTCCAACGGTCACCGCCAGGC